CAACAATACATTGTTTTACATGATTGAGTCACGTAGAAAATACAATGATTCTTTTTTTTTTCTTTTTTTTTTTTTTATCAGAATAGAATATAAACAGAAGAACATACATCAGTGGTGTAATTATAAAACCAGTCCTTTGAGGGCGCTGTGGTACCGAAAATGAGGTGGTATGTAAACAATGTCTTTGATGTAGGCCCTAGAGATATATATCACCAGGGGGTCTGGCTTAAAAGGGCTTGTCTCACTAGCAGACCCGTTCTGCTAGACTTCGTGTCTGTGAAGATCTTTTGAGTTCTGTATGATAAGCGGCCATGTTGAGTACATCAAAGGCTCTTAAACAGTACTCAATCACAGGAGGTCTCTGCCGCATCCTGTCGTTATCTTACCACTCGTAGATAATAAACAAAGGTTTTGGAGGTAAATGAATAGGTCACTGTTCTCTTTGTAAACATGGGCAGAGTCATGTGATGGCCAGAGTTTGGAGCATTACATTCCACTCCAAGTTACTGCTACAAAAGGTTTCTTTGAAACGATCTATGGTCTTTGGCCAATGAACTTATCAACCCAACAGTGTTTCCTGCTCCATTTGACACTTAAATTTTACGCAAAAAAATTAAACTATATTTAGCTCTGAGGTTAAAATCTGGTTATATTTCATTGCTAGATGATTGTTTTGCATTTTGTTTTGCATAAATTTAACTTGTAACTTCTGTCAGTCATTAAGAAGTGAAATAAAAAAATCTGACTGGTTTATACAAACTTCCATTGTTGCCACTTGTCACAGTGGATATCACAGATTTAGGTGAAACTCTTTCAACCACTCCCCCTGTTAGTGACAAAAACTTAATTGGTTTACATAAAATTGCCTTTGTTCTTTTCTCTTTAGCCTTTTTGGCAATGTTTGGTATCGCCGCACACCAAGCGGGGGTTGCATTGTTTTTATATTGTTTAATTAATTAATTAATTAATTAATTAATTTTCAACATTTTTGGTCAACCGTCGCACGGAAAAGGCTGCACAGATCAACGTGAAATTTTGTCAGGAATGTAGATGTGTCCAACATACACCGCACCGGCCAACGGCTTTACGATAGACCCCATATTTGAGGAGGGGTCTCCATCTAAAAAGGGAGTGTCTGGACATACAAAAATGCTAATAACTTAAAAACTGTTCAACATAGGAGCTTCAGATGTTTTGTTGATGAAGGGCTATCCATCAGGCCCACCAATGAACCCCTTCCACCATCTCTGGACCCCCACCCAAAACAATAAATCCATCCAGATGACTTCTGAGTTTTGGTGCTTTGCGTGGGGGGTGATATATGCTACCACTATGCAGTATCTAGTTTTTATAATGAACAGCTGAAATAAGCTCAGTTTTCTTGTTAATCACCTAACTGTTAAGAAAAGTATTTTCTGCTATGAATATGTCATTTCTAGCTGTATTGAAGATGTCCTGAACAGGCATAAGTGAGTAAAGGATGGATTAACTTCTTACTACCCCACGTTAGTCAGTCATGTTTCTGTTCTTGAACATCAGTGTCATCTTTATGCAGACGACACACAGTTTTACTTTGTTAAACCAAACAGTCCTGCTGTTTTTATTTTAGTCTTTTTCCATGCCAGACTAGATGTTTCTGAGTGTTCTTCATCTCAGCTGTGACAAAACTGTGGATCGTTGTGATTGGACATGATTTTTATTTTGAAAGGTCATGCCGTTTATAGTCCAGTTTCCAGCAGCATCAGGACCACTTCCAGGAATTGTGATGAAGTCTTTGATCAGTATCTGAAGTTTGAAGCTCGTTCAGTCTGATTTATTTTTCATCTTAGAAACACAGCAGACATTAGACTTGAACTTTTAGCCTATTTCCTGGAAACTCTGGTCTTATTTAAAGGACTAACTGTGTTTGACTTGGTCCTTTGTTTTTATTTAGAGTTGTGTTAGTTTTATCAGTTTGTTTTCACATGAGCACCTGCCTCATGATTAATCATAACAATCTAATATTTTTTATTGTTGTTTATGGTATTCAGTTTTAATTATAAAAGGTTTCAAAACAGAAGCCCCCCGAGGCTGAGTGCATTGAGTGGCGATTGCTCATCAACCTCTCATCAGACTTTGTTTGTTTGAATTCCCTCCAGATTTTCCAACATTCATTGTTCTTTTTTTTTTTGGAGACCCAGCAGCCACATATGGTTGTTATATACTGTACTTCCAAATTCAAGCCATATTTGCTCAAGCTTTACATCTTTTCGTCTTTTTCCCTCCGTCTGATTATATGTTAACAATAAATAAAGCTATGTTTTTTTTATTGATTTTGCCTGAAAACTTTTGGCTGGAGCTTGTGTGCATATTATAATTCCAGGAACATTACAATATTTTAAGAGTATGGCTGTTGTTGCACAGAATCCAGATGTCCAATAAAGTAGGTCTTATATGTGCCATACCTTCTTAAAGGGATCCCCGATTAGTTGTAAAATTAGACTTTATTTAATAAACATATATTTTATCTGTAAAATAAAGACTTTAAAAATACTGTAGGATGTTTAGTTTTTATAATATTTAAACTAAAAGTTTAAAAATATATTACACGGATGGGGCCATTTTATTTAATGCAAAGCATTCTGGGTAAATGATGACATGGATAGGTCCTTGGTGCGAGGCTGCTAGCGAGCTATATCCACCCTGAAGGTTAATCTTGGACAATATCTGATGATCGACTTTTAAATGAAACCAGAGAGCGTTGACAGAGAGGAACTGAAACTGTAACTGAACATATAAATGGAGGACAACAGAGCTGCTTCATGGAAGAAGAACCTCAGCTTAGCCTGTTAGCTTT